AGGGTACTGCACGAGCACACCGCAGACGTCCTTCTTAGAGTAGTCGAATTTCGTGTGGTCGCCGACAACGGCTTCAATTCCAAGCCCATCCGCGCGTGTCAGACACACGTCGATGGTCTGCGGGTGGCACAGGTTGGAGATGTAGAATTTGGTCTTCTTCCCGCGGTTGATGTTGAGACACATCGCCATGGCTTCAGCTGCTGCGGTTCCCTCGTCAAGCAGAGACGCGTTGGACATCGGCATTGCCGTGAGATCAGTAATCAAGGTCTGGAAGTTGAGGAGAGATTCCAGACGTCCCTGGGCGATTTCCGCCTGGTACGGAGTGTACTGGGTGTACCAGCCGGGATTCTCGAGCAGGTTACGGAGAATGACCGGCGGGACAATGGTTCCGTGGTAACCCATGCCGATGAATGACTTGAGGACCTTGTTCTTAGAAGCCATGTCTTTAAAGCGCTCGAGCATCTCGTTCTCCGGGAATCCTTCCGTGTACTTCCCCAGCTGCATCGGCTGGCGTCTGATGTCCTTCGGAACGGTCGCGGTGACAAGAGCATCGACGGATTCGAAGCCGCAGAACTCGGCCATGGCTTGGGCCTCTGGAGGGGTGATGCTGTTGTGACGGCGGGGGAAAGTGTCGCTAGGCTTCAATGCGTCGACGGAGATGGAACGGAACCCTTGAGCGGCATTCCTGGCACGAATCTCGGCCGCAATGCCGGTGGAGCGAGCGGAGAAAGCTCCCAGCATGCTGGGATGGCCATGGCGAGCGGGAGCGTCGGCGAGGGAGGTGAGAGGCCGGGAGTGGCTCACGACGGGCCGTGAGCCGGTGTTGCTAATAACGACTCCCAGACTCCGCACGCAGCGCATCCATTGCTGTCTGCTGGATGCAGCCATTACGGCAATATTAGATCACTAAAGTGAAAAAGGCACAACGCTTCGGCCGGCCTGACCAACCCTTTCTCTCCAAAACAATTAGGGAGACAAAGAGATAGCTCCTTATGAATTCCGTCACCAACCCTGCTCTTCAGCACAGAATTTATTCAGTGCGCTTCAGAATTGCAGAACCAGCAAGCAGGCTGGCCAGAATCCTGGAGCCCACGGACCAGGATGCTCTGGGAATTGTGCGAATGTGCTGTTGACCAACTCTTTGCAGCGTGGACTGAAATTTGGGATAGCCTTGGGAACAGGTTTCAGGCCTGGTTTGTACCTGGTTCGTCCCTAGGAAGGTCTGAGAAGCAGCCACAAGTAAAGCAGCCGAGCCAGTCTCCAGGCACCGCACCTCCTCGAGGCTCGGTTTCGCGCCAAAACTTTGTGCAAGAACTTGGTCATGGCAAGCAACAAACAAGGCCCGGTTCGCAAAACGTCACTTCCGCTGAAGGTATGGCGTCAAAGAGAGGCTTGGCGTCCACAAGTCATGCCACGTCAGGTGAGATGTGGCATAAATTGTGCGTAGATTGGCTAAGCGACCCATATGGGTCATAGTGGCTGACGTGGAGTAATTGAAATGCACGCACCAAGTCATCCACTATTACAACCCGCTTATCGGCAAGATGCAGAGTTACCATGCACACGATGATTCAATACGCGAGTCAATAATGCCTTTCATTTCTTCCAGAATACAGTAACCTTCATAGCACATTTAGCCATAAATGCTACAGTACCATCTTTAGTAGACTTTCCATACCCAGTAACTGTACGTGTCAACACTGATTTAATAGACAAACATAATAGAATGATTAATATCTGAGAATATTACACACGTCACGCTTGTTGAGAGATGCCTTGCGTATCTGCAGCTAACAGGGTATGTGTTGGACGAGAATACATTCTTGTGAGGTGCTCTTTCGTCCCGTAATAAATGACTGCAGCAGCAGACGCTGCCCTTTTGAGAAAAGGGACTATGGCCTCAAGCCAAACGTGGGTTATGATTGCAATCATAAGGCCTGCAAACAAACATGACAGGAAAAGGTCAGCTTCATCCAATTACACGCTTCATCTTTCAAACAAATGGGCTTCAGACGTACAGGAAAGAGCCACGAGATGTGAGAACGGTGAACCCAGGACCACCATTGCAAAGCACACTAGTAGTGGAATCGCCGTAAGCCCTGCCACAAGACAAGGTGTGAAGAAAAATAACTTCGGAAATAGATGAAGGAAAAGCGGATCCATTCAATCACTCACCGACAAGCAGTAGATTACCCACAGGAATGCGGAAAGGCCTGTAGGCATCTGGTTCTGTGAATCTTAGGTAAATAAGAGCTGAAAACTTCAATGCTGAGGAAATGCAGTACAACACCATATCCGCCTGCCACTCAGCAATGCATGCAAATTCAATCAAGGTTATGTCCATGCATTGCAGCATAACCGTATTCTGAGTACTCACCTCAGCAAGAAGTGTAAACTTGGACCCGGACAGCAGAAGAGTGCAGAAAGCAGTGATAACAAGTGCAACCCAAGGAGTTCCATGTTTCCCTTCAACAGATTGGAATAACTGGGGTGCCTGCAGAACAGGAGGTGTGAGAAGGCTGCAGAACACCAGAATGGAACAACACCAATTCACCTTATGTGCCACCGCCATTCCATAGACAAGCCTCGAGCTCATGCACAGACGAGTTAAGAGAAGACCAAAGGCGCTGGCGACTCCTCCAAGTCCCAGCCAAATCTGCCGCACAATAACATGAATCCTTTTCTCATGCTGAAACAAGCCATTTTCCGCCCATTACCTCTAACGGACGGCCTCCAACACGTGCAGCTATGTCCGTAAAGGTGCCACCTTTCCACAGCTCGAAGTATGGCGCCACACTCAAGCCAACTAAGGCTGGAACGATGTAGGTAACAAGCATCAGTCCCACAGAAACCAGCAACGCCAGAGGATAGGATCTTCCTGGATCTTTCACTTCGCCAGCACAAGCTCCAGCGGAATCAAACCTGCACATACAAACTCTTAGTCAATTTATTCGTGCTAAGGACGCTGAAAAAAAGAAAAGAAAAAAAAGAAGAAGAAAAAAGGAAAAAAACTGCTTACCCTGAAGTGTTCCAAAGAAGCACAGAGAGTAACTTCGGCCAATTTAAAGGCTTGGGTGTTGGAAAGCTGATCCATTGCAGATTCAGCTGGGGAATAGCGAAGAAGAACATTGCAACGAAAGGAGCGATGACAGACACCCCAAACACCATCGATGCTTTTCCTGCCAGAGCAGTCTGTGAGACAGAGGATTCTCATGTTACTTGTGAAACACTTCAAAAGAAATTACGTACCCACTATGTCGACTCCGCTCAAGTTGAGTGCGGTCGTGACGGCGATCATTGTCGCTTTCAGAATGAGCGAATATGGCATGGGAATTGCTCCAAAAGGACCATATACGATGTGGCTCAGATAGTCAACGAAAAGGGCTGGATACAGCGCGTTGTCAAACACCCCGCATCCAAACGTCAATACACTGTTGAATAAAGACCAGAATGGTCCAAACGCATGATACACCCATAAAATGTGTCCTCCGCTCTGAGGAATCATGCAAGCCAGTTCTCCAGTCATCAGTGCCAACGGCGCGGACCAAACAAAGGGAATAAGAAGTAGCATCCCCAGTCCCACAAGGCCACCTGAGGCTCCAATTACGTCCTCGAAGCCGTATGGACCCTGAAAACAAGGGTATCAGGAGGGAAGTCTGCACCTACTGAGCCTTTTGCCGTGGTCAAGGATTTCTTACCCCTGTCACCGTGAAGAATAATATGGAAACCAACTGGATAGTTGAGAGTAACGAATCAGAGCTGCTTCGCCGAGAGGTTGCACCTCCATTACTCCAGCGTTCACCTTTTCCAACTTTAGCGTTTTCACCCGCAGACTCCGGGATTAGCTTCGACTTATGCTCGCTGTCAGGATCCATTTCTAAGGGAACCATTTGACCACCAAGGATGACGAGAATATAGCACGCCTAAGCGCCACACTTCATACAAAACACAGAGGTCTTTCCAGGCTTCGGGTGAGGATAAGATGATGGTACGTTCTGAAATTGCGGAATTTTGAAATTCAAGTCTCCTGGTTATCACCACGAACCGGTACCTCTGACAAGCGAAGACACTACACTGGAATTTCAGAGGTATGTTGACAGAGTTGCTGAGACATGTGGACAGAGTTCCTCAGGTATGTGGACGGGGTGTCTGACAAAAGATGTCATATGCATGTGTCCGACAACGAGCTGTCAGCTGATCACAAGCTGCAAACTTGCTTGCCTCCATTTGGCCGGACACCAGAAGAAAGAGAAAAACCATCTTGGGGCGTGTTTAGAATGGAAGGGAACGTACGCGGTCCCTCCCCACACATCTTTGAGGATACCCCACAGCACGAACCAAGTTCGCTTCACAACGCACGATAATCATAAGGCAGAACTGATGCATGAACGGTTTGCAGAACTGACCCGGCGGGGAATCGGAATGCATCTCAACACATCCCCGTCACCCCAATGAAACTGCACAGTGCGAGAACTGGTAACGGCGTGTTGCAATTCCCAGTGCACTGCTTCGGCTCGGCTCGGGGCACGGGTTTTGGAAGGCTCCAGGAAAGCGGGAGGCCGAGTCAAAGCAGTACACTGACTTGGCACGGCAAGCCCCGAGCCGAGTCAGTGCACTGCATCGCCTTGGCTCGAGCCAGCACGACCTGGCACATGCCAGCAAATTAACACCCGCTGCCAAACCGCCACTCTGCCCTCGCCAATCTTCAGTAGTCGCCAGGAAATCGGCGTCACAACTACCTCGAATTTCATGACGAAATTTCGACGTTCCCGAGGCGCGAGGCTGGCACGACCTGGCTCGTGCCAACTCGAGCCGAGCCGATGCAGTGCACCGGGAATTGCAACACGCCGTAACTCACTACCTGCGACAAATTCCGCTTTGGCAACGTCCAAGCCGACCCTTTCAATTCCCCCAAACCGATCCATATCAATGAAGCTGAGGGTGATTAGAAGCTGCAACCATAGAAGTCAGTCACGTATTTAATACTTGTCAGTCGAGCCATGGTGACAAACGCGGCAGCCGACGACTGGCTCTCATCCCAGCTGGCCAGCGACGGTCGCAGGGAGGCGGAGATCCTCTCTCGCGCGTGGTTCCAGCTCCGACTCTCCATTCGCGCTCCCAATCGCTTCCCTCCGTGGGACGCGCTGCTGATTACTGCCGCGAGCGACGCCCAGGCTGACCTTTACTCCAGGTACACGACTACCATGAATACCGCGACTGTCACGACTATGACGACTAGTACGACAATCTTTCCACGCACTCGATTCGTTCATTAGTCTCAAATGGCACATGTACTTGCATGGCGGCGTTTATTAACCACTCTTTTCGTACGTTACATCGTTCACCGCCTCGCGCCCTACTTAACCCATCTCGCCGACAATGTGGGAGTCTGTCAGTCAAGTTTTTTTCAGCCTGCTCTATCCACCCCACCTTATCGTCTGGAGTCGTTGAATCAATCTAGCTCTCTATGATGGTACGACGAGCCACGGTACACGACCGACCCGTTGCTGCTCTCTTCCCTGCCTGTTTCCGACTTTTGAGGCGCCTCGAAACTCGCTCCAGCTTCAACACTCGGTCAAAAAGCCACCGCTGGAGTAGTATCGGCGTAGTTCCCCTGCTTCTTCTCTTGCCTCTGCACCCTCCCACTTTCCACTAACCCTTTCATCCAGGATGCTGGAAGCAGCTCGCAATGATATGCACATTGTGGAAGGGAAGGCAGTCATCTGTGAATTAAGTAGAAGCAGGGAAGTAGAAATAGGTCGTCCAGGCGGTTTGTCAGGCCGTTCAGGCGCCTCTGAAATCATCCAGGCTGAGCCAATTGCTTTGCCATCCCCACCACCCTCGTTGTCCCTCATCCACGCGGCTGGCAGCAGCTCGTGACAATGTGTGCATGACTGACTGTGCAGAGAGGAAGAAGAGAAGGTTGTCGTATGTGAAGGAAGTAGAAGTAGGTCAGCCAGGCTGAGAGGGAACGTCTTTGCTTGCCATCCCCACCCCACCCTCGTTGTCCCTCATCCACGCAGCTGGCAGCAGCTGCCTTCTCCTATTCGCCTTGTTCCAGGCAGCTGGCAGCAGCGCAGCAGAGCAGCACAACGGGCACCAGAGGACACCAGATGAGACCGTCGTTTTGGCAGAAATTTCACACACCAGCGCAGCACAACGGGCACCAGTGGAGGCCGTCGTTTTGGCAGAGCCAGACAAGGAAGATTTCACCAGCTCTTCCTGTTGTCCGAACTCTCACACCTCGATTCGTCTTCTTGCCTCCTACCAGGCAGCTGGCAGCAGCGCGGCACAATGGGCACATTGCAGCGGAGACCGCCTTTCTGCTGTCAGGCAGTTTTTAAGTCCCACCCGCCCTCATATCCTTCTGACCCTCCTCCCACCAATCCGTCTCCTACCAGGCAGCTGGCAGCAGCGCGGCACAATGGGCACATCGCAGCGGAGACCATCGTGCTGGCAGTGGCAGACAGGGAGGTGAAGCAGATCGGGTCTGGCGGAGCGTTCACCATCTCTTTCCCTTGTTATCCACCTCTCACCGCTATATCACCCCCCTTCATCCAGGCAGCTGGCAGCAGCGCGGCACAATGGGCACATTGCAGCGGAGACCGTCGTGCTGGTTGGCAGGCAGTACCGAACCCAACCCCCACCCCCTCATTCTTACCCTCCTTCCACCAACCCCCCACCTTCCAGGCAGCTGGCAGCAGCGCGGCACAATGGGCACATAGCAGCGGAGACCATCGTGCTGGCAGTGCCCGACAGGGAGGGGAAGCGGATCGGATCTGGAGGAGCGACCCTGGGAGCTATCCGGGCACTGAGGGACCATCTGGGGGAGGTGAGACCTGCCTTGTATGGATTCCCGCATTTGGTGGGGGAAGGGAGGGAGGAGGGTGAGTGGGTGTGGGTGGTGTGGGGAAGAGCGTGGGAGACCATCGTGCTGGCAGTGCCAGACAGGGAGGGGAAGAGGATCGGGTCTGGCGGAGCGACCCTGGGAGCTATGCGGGCACTGAGGGACCATCTGGGGGAGGTGAGATCAGACAGGGAGGGCAGGCAGATCGGTTATTGAGTCGACTAAGAAAAGGGGAAGGCTTGGGAGACCATCGTACTGGCAGTGCCCGACAGGGAGGGCAGGCGGTTCGGGTCTGGCGGAGCAACCCTGGGAACTATCCGGGCGTTGAGAGGTTATCTGGTGGAGGCGAGACCTGCCTTTTGGGATCCGTTTGAGTTGACTCAGAAGTCTATTCGGGCGTTGTGAGATTATCTGGGGGAGGTGAGACCTGCCTTGGATGGATTTCCCGCTTCTGGTGGTGGGGGAAGGGAGAGGGGGCGAGGGGGAGGGGAGGGGAGGGGAGAGGAGGCTAGGGGTTGGGGGACGGGGAAATGGGGTGAGGAAGCTATTTGGGTACTGAGGGATTATCTGAGGGAGGTGAGACCTGCCTTGGGATCCCCGCGTGTGGTGGGCAGGGGAAAGGGGTGACTTGTTGTGAGTCGCCTCAAAAGTCACCTCCGTGCCCAACAGGGAGGGGAAGCGGATTGGGTCTGCGGGAGATCTCTGGGAGTGACACTGGGAGCTATTCGGGCACTGAGGGATTATCTGGGGGAGGGAGGTGAGGTGAGACCGGCCTTGGGATGGGATCCCAACGTTGGTAAGGCAGGGGGAAGGGGTGACTTGTGAGTTGCCTCAAAGGTCACTCCTTCTAATGGACCAACTTTCTTGGTTAGCAAAAGACCGTGCCATACAGGGAGGGGAAGCGGATCGGGTCTGCAAGATATCTCTGGGATGGGAGCGACCCTGGGAGCTGTTCGGGTAAGAAGGGATCACATGGGTGAGACCTGCCTTGATATTCCTGCGTGTGATGGGGAGGGGTGAGTTGTGAGTCGCCTCAAACGTGACCTCCGTGCCCAACAGGGAGGGGAAGCAGAGTAAGTTTGAACCAGAGAACCTGGGAGGGAGATATTTGGGCGCTGAGGTTTATCTGGGGAAGGTGAGACCTTCCTTGGAATCGCTTCGTGTGGTGGCAGGGGAAGGGGTGAATTTCGGCCAGAGCCGTCATCGGTGTTACCAGAGCTCAATATGCAATGCGAAGCTCATAATAATTTCTCCCAAACTCATCCCAAGCCTAGTCTTGTATATGGAACCGTTATTTTCCTGCAGTGGGCAACAGCAAGCGCCTGTCATGAGCCAATCCTTCCCTTTCCGCCCACTCCCTGTCTCCCCTTGCCTCCCGCTCGCCCTTCAGTCAGCCAACCCACGTCTCCCGCACAGGGAGCGACAGCGAGCACCTACCATAAGCCAACCTTGCCTTCTGTGTTTCCATCACCCTTTCCCCCCCGTCCGCTCTTCATCAATGAAGGTGCTACAGGGGGCGACAGCAAGCGCCTGCCATAAGCCAACCTTGCCTTCCATGTTTCCATCACCATCACCCCTCTCCCCCCGTCCGCTCTTCTTCCCACTCTTGTTTCCCTTTTGCTCTCCTGCCTTTCAGTCCGCCACCCCTCGCCTCGCCTTAATGAAGGTGCTGCTGGTGCATGCAGGGGGGAGACAGCAAGCGACTGCCATGGGCCAACCCGCGCGGCAAGCCTTTTGTGCCCTTCCCTCTCCCTCCGTGCCCCATTGCCCTGCCTATCGACTGTGTCCAACAGTCCGCCTCTATGCGTCTCCCATCCATGAAGGTGCTACTAGTTCATGCAGGGGGCGACAGCAAGTCTCTGCCGTGGGCCAATCCTTCCCTTCCCTCCCACTCTCTGTTTCCCCTTTCCTCTCCCTCGCCCTTCAGTCCGCCTCTACGCGTCTCCCATCAATGAAGGTGCTGCTGGTGCACGCAGGGGGCGACAGCAAGTGCCTGCCATGGGCCAACCCGTGTGGCAAGCCCTTTGTGCCCTTCCCACTGCTACCATATGCCAATCCATGTCAAACCCTGCTCTCCCTCGTTCCCTCTCCCTCCCTCCCTCCTTCCCTCTCCCCATGTCCCAGTCCGCTTCTGCCCGTCTCCCATCAATGAAGGTGCTGCTGGTGCATGCAGGGGGAGACAGCAAGCGACTGCCATGGGCCAACCCGTGTGGCAAGCCCTTTGTGCCCTTCCCGCTGCTGGCTGGGGACGACCCTGACGGACCCCCCTTGACTCTCTTTGACCACATTCTCGCCGTCTCTGCTCTCGCGCTTCAGGCACTCCCCTCTGATGGTAAGCTGGTGGGAGGGAGGGGGGGTTTGGGGGGTTTAAAGGTGGCTCGTGCCACTTACCAGCAAGCCCTTTGTGCCCTTCCCCCTTCTGGCTGGGGACGACCCTGACGGACCCCCCTTGACTCTCTTTGACCACATACTCGCCGTCTCCGCTCTCGCGCTTCAGGCGCTTCCACCCACTGGTATGTACTTACCAACTAACTAAACAAAATCGAATGGATGATTCGTGATATGTGTCACTAGGAGTGGAACCTTGGTGACCTTCCTGCAAGTGTTCTTTTTAGAAACCTAAAAAAACCATTTGCTGCAGTCCTATGTGCTTGCCTTGCCGTGATTCACCACGTCAACCAATGCACCATGCACCCTTCCTTAACCGCCCCTCTCCTCCTCCTTACTCACCTCTCTCCCATCCCGTGTTCCCTTGCTCCCCTCAGAGACCGCTCTCTTCATTATGATGGGCGACGTTTTCCCACCGCATCGTCCAATGGGAAAACGGGATCCACTGCATCGACCAATGCACCACGCACGCTTCCTTATTCACCCCCCTCCCCGTGTTCCCATGTTCTCCCCACAGATGGCGCTCTCTTCATAATGACGGGGGACGTGCTGCCATGCTGCAACGCCTCTCGCATCTCATCCCATGTGTCCATATACTCTTACCTGTATTCGCGCCTTACCCCTCCCGTTGTCCCCTCTCTTCCATCTCCCAGAAGGCGCACTCTTCATAATGACAGGCGATGTGCTGCCATGCTTCAACGCCTCTCGCATCTGCCTGCCCTCCCACGGGGCGCTGGTCGTCACTGCTGCTGTGCCGCTGGACGTGGCCTCCCGGCATGGAGTAATTCTTGCTTCGGACCAGACCGGCCATGTTGCTTCGGACCAGACCGGCCATGTTGCTTCGGACCAGACCGGCCATGTTGCTTCGGACCAGACCAGGCACGCTGCCTCGGACCAAGCGTTGTCGCGGTCTGAGTTCAACACACAGGCACAGTCAGCCCCTCAAGAGACGCAGCACCAGCAGGAGCAGCAGCGGCGGCAGCAGCAGCAGCAACAGCAGCAGCACAGGCAGCAACAGGAGCAGCAGCAACAACAGCAGCAGCAGCAGCGGCAGCAACAGCAACAACAGCACCATCAGCAGTGGCAACAGCAGCAGCAGCAACAACGGCTGCAGCAGCAGCAGTTGCAGCAGCAGCAACAGCAACAGCAGAAGCAGCAGCAGCAGCTGCCGCAACAGCAGCAGCAGCAATTGCTGCTGCAGCAGCATCAGCAGCAACAGCAACAGCAGCAGCAGCAGCAGCATGAGAAGCAACAGCAACAGCAGCAGCAACAACACCAGCAGGAGCAGTGCCAGCAGCAGCAGCAGCATGAGAAGCAGCAGCAACAGCAGCTGGAGCAGCAACAACAGCAACAGCAACATCAGCAGCAGCAGCACGAGAGGCAATGCAGCAGCAGAACCCCCAAACTAGCAGCGGACAACTTACAGAAGCCGAGTGTGGGGGAGATGGTAGAAAGGGGCCCATTGTGCCGAACAGCAACCTTTGAAACATCTCAAAAGTCCCCCGAACTAGTAGCAGACATTTTGCAAAAGCCAAGTGTGGGAGAAATGGTGGAGAGAGGGGCACTATGCCGCACCGGGGGAGCGCTGCTAGACACGGGGATCTACGCTGTGTGTGGTGACACGTGGCGCGACCTGATTGGCCTGGCGACCAGCGAGGAGGACTTGCTAGGAGAGCTGCTGGCGTCTGGCGAAGAGGTGAGTAGAGTGAGGTGGAGGAGGGGGTGGAGTGAGGGGTTGAAGGGAGTGAGGTGGAGTGGAGATGAGATGGAAGGGGACTTTCGAGGCGCCTTAAAGGAGGACGTGCGCAGAGCTGCTGGCGTCTGGCGAAGAGATGAGTGGGTGGGTGGGAGGAGGTTGAGTGGGGTGAGTAGGTTGAAGGGAGTGAGGTGGAGTGGAGGTGAGACGTAAGGTAGGCACTTGTTGCTGGCAGAGCTGCTGGCGTCTGGCGAAGAGATTAGTGGGTGGGAGGAGGTTGAGTGGAGTGAGGGGTTGAAGGGAGTGCTTTCGAGGCACCTAAAAAACCCTTGCAATAGCAAAATTGCGGGATAAGAGACGTCTTTTGAGGCGCCTCAAAAGCAGAGCTGCTGGCGTCTGGCGAAGAGGTGAGTGGGTGGGACGAGGTGGAGTGGATTGAGGGGTTGAAGGGAGTGCGGTGGAGGTGAGATGGACGACGACTTTTGAGGCGCCTCAAAGGCTGACTTGCTCGCAGAGGTGCTGGCGTCTGGCGACGAGGTGAGTCAGAGGAGATGAAGGAACATGTGGTGAAGGTGGCAAGTGCTGGCGCGTTTTTCTAGTCAACTTAGTACCCAGCTTCCATGTTTCCGATTCCATGTGCGCTTCTGTCTGTGTGCGTAGCGTCTCTATGCCTTGCCACGCTTGGCACTCCTCCCACCCCCTGGGATCCCACCCATGTGCAGGAAGTCTTTGAGAATTCTCAAAAACTCCCTGCAGTTGCACGCCTCTCTCATCCCATGCACTTGTCTGTCTGTCCCCAGTTGAGTCCCCAGTGTCTAATCCTTTCTGCGTGTACGAATTATGTCCGTCCGTCCCTCTGTCCCCAGTTGAGTCTCTACGAGGAGTTGGCAGCAGCATGGGTACCGGCACGGCATGCCTGGCTCTCTACTCGCCCCCTGGGGCCACAACTCCTCGCCCACCTCAGCTCGCACTCTCTCTTCCACCACTGCTCAGGTAAGCCCAGCTGTGTTGTGTGCTATCCAGTGCAGACACTTGTCGTTATCTCTGCATCCATCCACACATGCGTGCATGCATGAGTAGCCCTTGGCACGATGCACCGTACACACTTGCTTCTCAGGCCTTGCCTGTTTGTTCAACAGTGGTGTGTACCCTCTCTTCTCCACTCACTTGTATACACCACCGCAACCCAACACCCCTCCCGCCCACCTCCCCTCCCCCACACCATGCCATCCAAGTATCTATGTGCACTTTTGGGCTATACCTCATCTTGATCCGTGTACCCGCCCCCCTCACCACAGACGATCTCTCCTTCCTGCATTTCGGCACGTCATCTGAGTACCTCCACCACGTGTGCCTTTCCCAGTCGTGTGCACTTCAGGTCCATACCCCTTCCTTTCCCCAACCCCTCCCTCACCCCCACCCCAACCACAGGCGATCTCTCCTTCCTGCATTTCGGCACCTCATCAGAGTACCTCCACTCCACCACATGCGCCTTGCTTACCCGTCGCGCGTGCCTCCTCTCCCCTCCCTTCCCATCCGCCCACCCCACCCACAGACGATCTCTCCTTCCTGCACTTTGGCACCTCATCCGAATACCTCCACCAAAAGCGCCTTTCTTACTCGTGGCATGTGCTCTTCCTCTCCCCTCCCTTCCCATCCGCCCACCCACAGACGATCTCTCCTTCCTGCACTTTGGCACCTCATCAGAGTACCTCCACTCCACCACATGCGCCTCTGAACAATCCCCCCTCCCCTTCCCTCCTTCCCCTCCAATCTCCTCCTAACCCCTTTTTCCCCTCTCCCTTCATGCAGATAATCTTTCCTTCCTGCACTTCGGCACCTCCTCATCCGAATACCTCCACTCCACCAAAAGCGCTTTTCTTACTCGTGTCGTGGCATGTGCTCCTCCTCTCCCCTCCCTTCCTATCCGCCCACCCCACCCACAGATGATCTCTCCTTCCTTCATTTCGGCATGTCATCTGAGTATCTCCACCACATGCCCCTTGCCCATCCACTCGTGTGCTCTTCCAAACTATGACCCCATCTCTTCCCTTGCCATCCATCCTATGATCCTGCCCTTCCCCTACTCCCACAGATGATCTCTCATTCCTGCACTTTGGCACGTCATCCGAGTATCTCCACCACATGCGTCTCGCCTACACCGGGCGAATGCCGCGCCGTCACCTCAGCGCGGTCGCCGCGCCCACAGACTGCCACGTGGCGCAATCTGCAGCGCTCATCTCATCGCACGTGCCACCTGGCGCGTGCGTTGGGGAAGGCAGTGTCATCTCTGACAGCTGGCTGGCCCATGGCACGCGGATAGGCGACCGATGTGTCGTGATTGGCGTAGACGCTGCTGCCCCCGCTGCTGCTGCTGAGTCAGCATCTGCCACGTCAGCAGCAGAATCCGCTGATGCAGCAGTTTTTTGCCCGCTAGTGCTGCCGAGCCACATGTGCTTATGGCAGGTGCCACTGAAAGGGGGGCGGGAGGTCACCCTGTGCTGCGGCGTGGATGACAACCCTAAGTTGTCGTTTTCTGGGGGAGGCTCCTTCTGTGGCCGCCCCTGGAATCTCTGGCTGAAAGACAGAGGGCTGAAAGAAACGGACATCTGGCCAGGTGGGCTGTTTTCACTGCATGGCCTCAGCTCAGCTCTATCTGCTCATCAAGGTGTGGGCTGGGTGTTAGGTTACATGCCCTTGGAGTCAGGTGCCAGGTCTGGTGCTAGGTCTGGTGCCAGGTCTGGTGCTAGGTCTGGTGCTAGGTCTGGTGCTGGGTCCGGTGCTAGGTCCGGTTCTAGGTCCGGTGCTGGGACTGGTGCTAGGTATGGTGCTAGGTCTGGTGCGAGGTTCGGTGCTGGGTCCAGTGCTAGGTGTGGTGGTAGGTACAGCTACTGCCCCACAGATTCTCGTTCCTGCTCTGTGTTCCTGCTACCCACCCACTGTGTCTCGACTCACCACCCTCTCCCTCCCTCATCTCCCTCTTGCCATGTCCCCTTCCCTCTTTCAGATACAGACAACCAAGGCCGCCCAATTCAACCAAAGCAGGACCTCTGGAACGCCCTCCTCTTCCCCATCCTCCCTTCCGGCTCCGGGCTTCCCCTCGCCATGTTGCTTCTCGGAAGCTTCCCTCCTACTCTCACCCAAGTTTCCGGCCACACCCCCAGCCAAGACCTCAGCCAACAGTACACTGACACGTGGCGAAGATCTGACCGCACGTCGCTGGCTCTCCTCCACCGTCAGATCGACTTCCCCGCGCTGCTCTCCTCTGCTCTGCACCGTCGATCCGTGCTACTCACTGCCTTTGCTCGGGCTGCAATAAATGGTGGTGGTGCCTCACCTGCTGCTGTTGGTGGTGCTGCTGATGCTGCTGCTGGTGCTAATGCTGCTAGAGCAAGTACCGGTTCTCTTGCCACTGATAGCACTGCTGCTGCCGGTGCGGCTGCTGGTGCTGGAGGGTCCTTGGGCCGCAATCTAGCTTCTCTCACACGTCAGCTGCTGCTTGCTGACGTGGTGGACGCACACAGCAGTACCTGCCACGTGGCAGGCTCCCAGAAGAGCGCCAATCCTACCAGCACTAGCAGTAGTACAGAGGGTTTGGGCGATGCTACCGGTCATGTTGGTGATAGTAGCAGCGACATGAGAATCTCGAGGAGGAGAGGAGCCCGAGAACTGTGTCGTGACCTTGCGGCTTCCTTTCCTTTTGTTGGAGGGAGAAATGCCTCAGGGCGGTTGCCAAACAAGGAGGGAGAGGGCGGAAACGAGGGGGTGGGAGATGGGCTTGACAATGGGGGGAAAGGGCAGCAGCAGCAGCAGCACCAGCAGCAGCAGCAGCAGCAGCATTTGCAGCAGCAGCAGCAGCAGCAGCATTTGCAGCAGCAGCAAGAGTGGGCGGGTGTGCCTATGAGTCGTGTGCTTCAAGCGAAGCTAGACCTGGTTAGGGCAGCACAAGGGGTATATGGCGACGGGGAGAGGGGAGTGGATGGAGAAGGCGAGGGGGCGAGAGGAGAGGGCCGAGAAGGGGAGGGGGAGAAGAGAGGGGAGGGAGAAGAAGGAGGGAGGGAGAGGAGAGGGGACGGGGAGAGAGAGTGGGGTGAAGAGGAGGAGTTGCAGGAGGGAGTGTGGAGGGCAGTGGCTGAGGAGGCAGCGGTAGCAGTGGGAATGGGAGGGGAGGGGAGAGATGACGAGTTGGGGTCAACTCAAGGCTCCACTCAAGAGCATGGTGAGTGATGAGGGTATGAGAGCGTGCACCGATATGGTTTTAGGGCGTGCTATGAAAGTGTACGAGGGCGGTGACTGAAGAGGTAGCAGTGGTCCCTTCCACCCTTTCACCCCCTCCACACCTCACCAGCAGCCCTGCCTGTAGGCACTCTTGTCACAGCGGCTTTGCCAGTACACCTGGGTGGAGCGACACGCCTCCCTTTCCACCGTCTCACGCACTCTATTCCCTCACTCAACCTTCCCCCGCCCAGCAGCCCTCCCTCTCGGCGCCACTGTGACCGTAACCCTACCAGTACACCTGGACAAAGCAGGCGGGTGGAGCGACACGCCTCCCTGGAGTGAGCTGCTTCCCTCCATGCTCTCTCTCACTCCATCCCTCACTCCATCCCTCCCCTCCCAGCACCTCTCCCGCTAGGCGCCACTGTGACTGTAACCCTACCTGTGAGACTGGACATAGCAGGCGGGTGGAGCGACACGCCTCCCTGGAGTCTAGAGCGGTGCGGAACGGTGCTGAACATGGCAGTGCTGCTGGAGGGAAAGAGACCTGTGGGCGCCACTGTGACTGTTGTGAGAGAGCCTGGTGAGTGTTTTAGGCTTCCTAATTGTACAACACAGTTGTACTCTAGAGTGGTGCAGAAAGGTTCGGAGGATGGCAGTGCACTAGGAGGGGAGGAGGAGGGCTGTGGGGGCTACTGTGACTGTTGCGAGGGAACCTGGTGAAACTCCCTCCCCCCCTCCAGTGTTCAATGGAGGTCAAATGCAACATTGGACCTCCATTGATTCTCTGAACTTCTGGACGTTCAGAGTCCAATGGAGGACAACCACGGTGCCTCTCTCCCCACATCTTTGTGAGACGCCTCAAGCCATGTGCTACCGTTTTTCGAGACTTCTCAAGAGAAACCTGTGCTACAGGTTGGCATGGGGCACGATAACGGTGACGGGCACGATAACGGTGACGGGCACGATAACGGTGACGGGCACGATAACGGTGACGGGCACGATAACGGTGACGGGCACGATAACGGTGACGGGCACGATAACGGTGACGGGCACGATAACGGTGACGGGCACGATAACGGTGACGGGCACGATAACGGTGAGGGGCACGATATCGGTGACGGGCACGATAACGGTGACGGGCACGATAACGGTGACGGGGGACGGTGACGGGCACGATAACGGTGACGGGCACGATAACGGTGACGGGCACGATAACGGTGACGGGCACGATAACGGTGACGGGCACGATAACGGTGACGGGCACGATAACGGTGACGGGCACGATAACGGTGACGGGCACGATAACGGTGACGGGCACGATAACGGTGACGGGCACGATAACGGTGACGGGCACGATAACGGTGACGGGCACGATAACGGTGACGGGCACGATAACGGTGACGGGCACGATAACGGTGACGGGCACGATAACGGTGACGGGCACGATAACGGTGACGGGCACGATAACGGTGACGGGCACGATAACGGTGACGGGCACGATAACGGTGACGGGCACGATAACGGTGACGGGCACGATAACGGTGACGGGCACGATAACGGTGACGGGCACGATAACGGTGACGGGCACGATAACGGTGACGGGCACGATAACGGTGACGGGCACGATAACGGTGACGGGCACGATAACGGTGACGGGCACGATAACGGTGACGGGCACGATAACGGTGACGGGCACGATAACGGTGACGGGCACGATAACGGTGACGGGCACGATAACGGTGCGTCTCTCCCCTCAACATCCCTGTTGAGTCAACAGTCAAAAGTCAACCCAAGAGGAGTCACCCTGATTATATCCAATGCTCTCCTCCCACCACCCTTGTCCTACACAGGTGTTCTAATGGAGGACGATTCAGAGGCTTCCCTCTATTCCCGAACCCGCCACCATCCCCTTACCGGTCTTTTGAGTAGAGTTCAAAGTCAGCCCTGAGTACTTCAACTTCTTGTGATACACACCCTACGCCCTTCCTCCCCACCTCTCACCACAAGAACCCTTCGTTTTAGTCAAGGCCGCCCACCTCGTCACCCGCATATCCACCCACACTCTGCCCGTGCTCCCCTCCACATGTGTTTTAATGGAGGACGATCACGGTGCATCCCTCTACATCCCCGACCCCTCTTTCCAGGTGTATCCTTGTGTTGGCACCTCAACTCAAACCCTCGGCTACCTACCCATCCTGTGCCTTCTCGTTTTGGCTCCCTTCACACAGGTGTTTTAATGGAGGACGATCGCGGTGCTTCCCTCCACATCCCCGACCCCGCCCACCATCTTGCACCTCCTTGTTCATGACTCTCTCACAGGCATTTCTACTCTCTCGATTTCCCCGCCCTTTCTCTCTTCACACAGGTGTTTTAATGGAGGACGATCACGGTGCTTCCCTCCACATCCCCGACCCCGCCACCATCCCTCCCCACCTCTCGCCAGAAGAACCGTTCGTTATAGTCAAGGCTGCACTCCTAGTCACTCGCATATCCACCCTCCTCTCCGCCTCCTCCTCCTCCTTATCATGTGCGGGCCTGCATATCCGAACATGGGCAGACGTCCCCAGGGGCAGTGGTCTTGGCACCAGCAGCATCGTGGCAGCTGCTTTGGTGCGAGCGCTGCTGCTGCTGATCAGAGGGGGAGGCAGGGGCAGGACTTCGGGAGAGAAAGCACCTGAAGCAACAGCGGAGCCACCTGGGGCAGCAGAGAAAACACCTGAGGAAGCACCTGCGGTGACGGACGAGGAAGTGAGCCGGCTGGTGCTGCTGCTGGAGCAGAGGATGGGCACGGGGGGCGGGTGGCAGGACCAAGTAGGTGGCCTGTACCCGGGCGTCAAGTGCACCACCAGCCTACCCACTCGCCCCATTCGTCTCGTAGTGGACCCGCTGCCGCTGCTGCCGGCGTTCCGCTCTGCCCTGCAGCAACGGCTCGTGGTTGTGTTTGTGGGCCAGGTGAGACTTCTTTGTCGGTTGAGGTGATTTTAGTTCAGCAGTTGGGTGAGACCTCCTCTGGGAGCAGATGGGCACGGGGGGAGGGTGGCATGACCAGGTGGGGGCCCCTACCCGGGAGTCAAGTGCACCACCAGCCTCCCCACCCGCCCCATTTGTCTCGTAGTCGACCCGCTGCCGTTGCTCCCAGCTTTCCGCCCTGCCCTGCAGCAACGCCTGGTTGTTGTCTTTGTGGGCCAGGTGAGACCTCGTCGTCACCTCAGGGCTGGGGAATCAGGTCAGCTCTTTTAGTGTCACATCTGCAGGAGCAGAGGATGGGCACGGGGGGAGGGTGGCAGGACCAAGTAGGCGGGCTCTACCCGGGCGTTACCTGCACCCCCACTTTTGAGGTAACTCCCTGTTCTTGCATTCCCAGGTGCGTCTGGCGCGCAACATCTTAAAGAACTTGGTAACCCGTTACCTGCAGCGGGACTCCCATAATCTACCCCTTTTTCCATTTCGTTAACAATTTACCCTTCTTAATCCGTTTCCAGGTGCGCTTGGCCCGTAACGTCTTGAAGAATGTGGTAACCCGTTACCTGCAGCGGGACTCTCGCCTCATCTCCGCCATCCAACGGCTCACAGACCTTGCCGAGATCGGCCGTCGCGCGATCTCAACCGCCGATCTCGACCTTCTAGGGCGCGTTCTTTCCCATACCTGGGACCTTCACCAGGAGCTTGACCCGCACTGCAGCAATCCACATGTCGACACGCTATTGGCCGCTGTAGAGCATCTGAGTTGTGGGGCGAAGCTTGCAGGGGCGGGAGGGGGAGGGTTTGCGATGATCATGGGGAGGAGCGAGGAGGGAGCTGAAGAGATTAAGGGGATTTTGAGAGGGATGGGGGAGCCTGTTAGGGTGTATGACTGGGCTGTTGCTGTGTGAAGCGAAGGGAGAGGCTTAGCGATGATGATCATGGGGAGGAGTGGGGAGGCAGCTGAAGAGATTAGGGGGATTCCGAGCCGCATGGGTGAGCCTGTTAGGGTGTATGACTGGGCTGTTGCTGTGTGAAGGGAAATGAGCTGTGTTTAGCTCCATTCCACTCTGGTCGATTATAGAAAGGACCTTACCGTATTTCGTAGATGAGCCTAGTGTATGAGTGGGTTGTTTGTTGCCACGTGAAGAGTTTAGGTTGCTGTGCCACTTCTCGCCTCCTTATAATGGTTCACTTCACTTCACATTGGAAGAACGGTAGTGGTTTTATATGGGGAGGCCTATCGTAATAAACTTCATGGGTGAGTGAGTGAGACTCTTGGGGTGTGTGACTGATTCATATCTGACCATTCGCGCGAAATTCCTCCACTTAATTGTGACTGATCATGTGAACTTATAATCATACGCGTGAAAACACCCTTTTAGGTGACCCTACACAGGATTTTTTTACCACAGAATTTATATAGGCCACTGTTGATGTGTAGTGGCATATTTTCCCATGATTTCGCCGAGTGTCAGATGGTCGCATGCTCCCATTCGCGCCAACATAGCTGTTACGAATTATAGTCGCTAAAGTCGTCCACCTTCGCGGAAATCCGCATTTCCGTCGCTTGTTGCGATGAAGGTTGTTTGTTACAAGGCACCCCCATGCAAGCCGAGTCCCTCTTGCCCGCCGCCTCCTTCAGCCCGCCCAGCTGCCAGCCACCCGCATGCAAGCCAAGGCCGCGCCTCTCCGCCGCTTCCAACCAGCCCAACAACTACCGAAACCCACCGAACCCCTCATCTCACCTCCTACACGAAGGCCTCACCTCACCTCAACTCCCTCGTTCCTAGCCCAGCCCCCTCGCTTCTCGTTCTAGTTCTGATCTGATGGCGTGATGTTGCAAGAATGCCCCTTATTTTCCAGTAACCCTTCGTGCTTCCCTTGGTCGACTAAAAAAAACAGACCAAGGCGGATGATGTTTTTGTCTGAACGTAGCACCCCCCTCCGAGGGCACCGTCGCGCTGGCGTCCTCACCGTCCTTCGGAAAAAAAACACATTGCAGCTTCTCGATGGGCCCCGCGAGGTGAGTCGATGCGCCACGCCACGCACGAGTAAGAATAGTTCAGGTGCGGCTTCAGCCGTTGCTACGATCGCGGCAGTGCCACTAGTTCCGACCCCACCCCTGTTGGCCCAGCCTGGGCCTTCTCCTTTGATCCAAACCCTCCCGAGGCTTTTCGATACCTACTCCTTGCCGAGGTAGGGAATGCCAGGAGTCCGACCACTCGATTTGGGTACTTCGAACGAGTATTTTAGTTTCTCTCATGCGTCATTCTCTCAGAGCGTCACTTTTTCCAAGCCACCTTCCTGTCTAGTAGTTCAACCAATCATGGAGCGCCCCGCAGCCTCTCCATTTCTCATCGTGCTATGTAAGCACTGCCGTTTCTAGTGCTATTGTCACTTGAACGTTCTTCTCTCGTTCCCTTCCTCCGAGTCGAGTCGACTCCCTCCACTGCTCTTTTCCCTCCTGCTGCAGCCACTCGGGCCGCGCTTGCTACTGTGCATCCTCATCTGCTGTATCGCAGATAGCAACGTGATGATGATTGCTATTCTTGGCTTCTCTCCGCCTGTCAGAAGCATTCATTTGGCTGAGATTTGTAGTCTAGCACTCTAATGTCTGTGACATCGAAGAGATTTTTAAAAAAATCTAAAAATAAAATGAGCCGCCTCAAAATTATATATAAAAAAAACTCCCTGCAGTTTCAAACTGTTTTTAATAAGTTTGGTTCGTGACAGCTCCCGTGTAAACGCACGCCCCTCATCCTGACGACGATCATTCTCTGCTCTGCCCTGCCCTGCCCTGCCCGCCAGGTGCGGCGATCTTCACGGCTGCAGCATCCGCGGCATCACCCCTCGCGCCAATTCGAGTCGAAAGTGTCCCCCCACGTGACGGCAACGATTCTTCAGCCGCATCTGCCGCATCTGCTGCTCATGCGACGCCTCTCGGCTTGTGGAAAGGGAAGACTATCAGTGAGTGTCTCTGGCCTATGTCATAACCCTGTCGCAAAATAAAACAACTTCGTTTCACCATTTCACAAGTCAGTGCTCCTTCTAAAATTCACCCTGTTAGTCCTTTCTCTATCGACGTACTAGTAGTAGTAAGTACTATACCATTAGCAACACAAGGCGCGATTTGAGTCGTAAAACACTATAGTTGTACGTACTAGTAGAAGTACAGTACTACTATGCTACCCACAGACACTCTCCCTCTACCCCACCCCCCTCCCCTCCTACAGCATGCACAAGCCCCATTCTCGCAGTAAAATACGCGGCCAAGCTGCGTCTTCCTCACCTCATTACTGGTCCTTTTACTGCACCCCCATGCGTCCCTCTCCCTCCCTGCCATCCCCCCATTACCTCAGTGAAATACGCGGCCAAGCTGTTTCCCACAAAGTACAACGGGAAATTAGTCGGAGACAAAGGTGCATTCGGGAAAGTCGTTCTGAAGGGCCTCCGGTACGTGAAGGTCTCTACTGAAAGTCGTCCCACAGAGATCAACGGGAGACTAGTCGGAAACAAAGGTGCATCGGGGAAAATTGTTCTGTAGGAAGCCCCCCGTACGTCTCTGAGTGATTTCAGTGTGCTATTTCAGTGTGCTATTTCAGTCTATTGGTGCTAGTATTGCAACATACAGTCAGCGATGCAGTTGGCGATCAGATTGAGCCAGCCAGCGCGAAACTTACCAGATGGTACCCTTTCTTGCTCCTCCCCCGCTCATCCTTCCCAAATTCCACTTCTCCCCTCCCCTGTCCCACCTCCTCCCTCTCCCCTGTGTCTCCTGTCCCACCTTCACGATTGCCTCCTCCAATGTCCTATTACCAGATTTTCTTCAAGGTGACTTTTGAGTCGACTCAAGTGTCTCCTGTCCCACCTTCGCGATTGCCTCTTGCAATGTCCCATGACCAGATTCTCTTCAGGGGCGTTTGCTAGCAGCTGGGATATCCGCGTCCTTAACGTAGCATCTGGCGGGGAGGTTCCTACCGCAACCTTTGGAAAATCCTGTATTCCCGCCGCCGGTGACCCAGAAGTGGGTTTAGGGTGGGTGAACGTCACGAATAGCAAGACGGCCCGCCGCAAGCGTTACAGCTTCGCGATGAAAGACTTTTACGCGTATGAGAGTCTGGCGAAACTCCGTAGCTCGATGGCTACTGCCATGGCGGATGGGAAAATCGTCAGCGCTGGCTATTCAAAAAACAGCCTGGCGCTCTGTGGAAAGCTCACCGAAGTGCTGTAACAAGTGGCTCATCTGGTGTAGTTAACGCTTTTATTGGCTCATGTTATATTGGGGACGGGAATGCTACTTGAAAGTCTTTTGGGTTAAAGTTTCTTTGCCACCTATTGTGGTCTCATCAATTCAAGATAATATAGTAATACACCTCGCCACCACACG